AAATATTGGAACACTGCTATCCTGTCTCCCCTAGTCTTTCTTTTCACTTGGTTAGACTCTTCCTGCAATCGTTATGATCAGAGTGGTATAAAAAAATACAGTGAAGAGAATAAATAGGTTTAAAATAATAGAAAATACTTGTAGATTGGGTTTTATATTTTGGTAATGGTTTGCTCTCCAAGCTTGTTTCAGTTTAGAACAGAATAGAATAATAGAGTTGGAAGGGACCTTGGAGGTCTTCTAGTCCAACCCCCTGCTCAGGCAGGAAACCCTATACCATTTCAGACAAATGATTGTCCAGTCTCTTCTTAAAAACTTCCAGTGTTGGAGCATTCACCGCTTCTGGAGGCAGGTTGTTCCACTGGTTAATTGTTCCAACTGTCAGGATTTTTTTCCTTGGTTCTAAGTTGTTTCTCTCCTTGGTTAGTTTCCATCTGTTGCTTCTTGTCCTGCCTTCAGGTGCTTTGGAGAATAGCTTGACTCCCTCTTCTTTCTGGCAACCCTTTAGGTATTGGAACAATGCCTTCAGGTTATCGCTAGTCCTTCTTTTCATTAAACTAGACATACCCAATTCCTGCAACTATTATTCATAATAATTCCAGAAGTCCACTAGATGCCATCTTTTCAAACTTCCATGTATATAATAATAATAATAATAATAATGATGATGATGATGGAAGGGACCTTGGAGGTCATCTAGTCCAACTCCCTGCTCAGGCAGGAAACTCTATATCATTTCAGACCAATGGCTATCCAGTCTCTTCTTAAAAACTTCTAGTGTTGGAGCATTCACAGCTTCTGGAGGCAGGTTGTTCCACTGATTAATCATTTTAACTGTCAGGAAATTTAGTTCTAGGTTGTTTCTCTCTTTGGTTAGTTTCCATCTGTAAATAGTAGACTTTCGTCCCAAGGACCTTGCAGCCAACAATAGCCAAACTGATTCTCTCTAAAGCAGCGGTTCTCAACCTATGGGTCGTGACCCCATTTGGGGTCGATCGACCATTTCACGGGAGTCGCCAAGCAAGGCTGTCTGCCATTTTTTTCCCCTTTTCCGGTGGGTGCCTTATTTCCCTTGGGCTGGGCCAGCTGGTGGCCCAGCCGGTGGTCGGCCTGCTCCGTCTCTGCCGCTTGCCAGCTAGGCCTCGGCCGGCACAGGGGGCAGCACCACGCATGCGTGGCGCTCCCGGGCAGGGAAAGTCCTTGACTTACGACCAGTTGGGTAGTCCTCGACTTACGACCGGTTGGGGGTCGCGGCATTAAAAAGGTTGAGAACCACTGCTCTAAAGGCCACCAGTCATCCATGAGCCAGAAGGAGCAAAAGGTGGGGAGATTCAAAGCAGAAGACTTCCAAAGAAGAACCACCTCAGAGAAGGTTCAGCTTGACCTGTAAAATAAAATTGGATGCTATTAAAAGAGACCTACGTACAACAAACAGGAACAATCTGTCCCGTTCTCCTTGGTTTTTAATGGGGATGAAAGTGGAGAACTTTAGATAAGTTTTTTGATAAATCACCAGACCTGAGAGGGAGACAACCCTCTAAACAACTTTCTTTCTCCAGGTCAGGGGTGTCAAATTGCCGCCTGTGGGCCGGACGCATCACAATGAAACTGCACCCACTCCATTGCCGACAATGGGAAAAAAAATTCTGATATGTCGCACGACGTCAAATCTTTATCCAGACATCTAAACACTGGTTTAGATCATCAAGACAGGTCCTTTGGGAGACACCACCATCCCCAAAGCTCTGCTGTTGAGTATTAATAGAAGACTAGACTAGACTAGACTAGAAGCGTTGGAAGGGACCTTGTAGGTCATCTAGTCCAACCCCCCAACCCAAGCAGGAGACCCTGGCCTACACTATTTCTGACAGATGGCAGTCCAGTCTCTTCTTGAAAGTTTTCAGTGGTGAAGCTCTCACAACTTCTGAAGGCAATCTGTTCCATTGGTTGATGTGGAAAACCATTTTCTCTTGCAGCAATAGAAGATGTCTTTGAGTTTCAGTACTGAGATAAAAGACAAAGCTTTTAGTTTCTACTTTAAATTCTTGCTCATTTTAAGGATCAATATTAACTGGGTTTATTTCATTGGTATTTTACATTTTTAAAAATAGCTTTGCGTTGCCCTTGGTGTTCTGATAAACCAAAGAGCATTAATTTGACAATAAATACAATTTAATTGAAAAAAAAAATACTAAAGGCTTCCTATGCAGGCTGGTGTTTTAAAATGTGCTGCAGCAACAAGAATGAAAATTTAATTAGGATTATAATTCGACTCGATTGGATTCACTAAGAGGCTAAACCAGCTTCATTCATAGGTGGCCGGTTAGCTCAGTTGGTTAGAGCGTGGTGCTAATAACGCCAAGGTCGCGGGTTCGATCCCCGTACGGGCCAACAAATGTTTTTTTTATTTTTATTATTATTATTTTCAGACGCTGAAAAAGTATTTTAAAAAACGCCTTGTGATTCGCTATTTTCCCCGGGAAACCTTTCGGAAATCGAAATTTTATGCAATTCTTCCCATGTTAATTGAAAATGTCATGAAATAGTGCAACGCAATGCAATACAATGCAAAGGAAAAATGTAACGCAACGCAATGCAATAAATAGTGTGATGCAATGCAATAAAAATGCAAACGTGTAGCTATAGTGTCTTAACCATGCTCGTGTTGGAAATTATTCTGTAGATCAGAAAAAAAAACAAAGGGAAAAAGCCAATTGAAAATTGGTTGTAAAAGGTGGCTTTTTAAACTAAAAGTTCTACACACTGAAAACTGGTGTTTTAGAGCAGTAGGCAGCGTGTCGGTTTTCTTGGTCCGAAAGTCTTGAGCTCGAATTTCAGAAAAAGACTTTCCCTAGAAAAGCAAAAAAAATATTTTTTTCTGCTTTCTCGCACAAAATTTTATTCAAGCACCAAACTACTTTACATATACGTGTCGCCTTTTTGTGCATTGTACTAAAACTCAAGGGGTAAATATGTAGGAAGCTGAAAGCAGAGCCTTTTTTTAAACTGATCACTGCTGAGAGTTTCAGTCTAAGCAAGAAATCTCGACCCCCGGTATGATAAATGCTCCTTTAGTGGACAACATTACACAACATCAGTTGAATCATCCCAGCAATCCCATTGATTCCCCCCATCCGGTCATTAATTTATAATACCCACTGCCACTATAAATTAATAACATGACAGCAAACAACCTGTTAATTTACCACCAATAAATTCAGAAAGAATACCACTAGAAAAAGTTGAAAGGATCATGTTTGAAGTAAAGACAAGGATAGAAAAATCCCGAACAGCATTCTTCAAAATGAAAAAGGTCTTCCGCAGTCACGACATAAGCCTAAGACTGAAAATCATGCTTGTCAGATGCTATATTTTTCCTATCCTGCTCTATGGAGTAGAGAGTTGGTCTCTGACAGAAGGCCACCTGAAGAGACTAGAAGCATTTGAAATGTGGATTTGCAGGCGACTGTTACATATAAGCTGGGTTGACAAGATCAGAAATGAGGAGGTGATAAGTTGCCTGGGAAAGCCAAGGAAAATCATCAAAACAATTAAAAAAACGAAAATTAGAATATTTCGAACATGTGATGCTACACCCAGAAAAATACGGCATACTCCATTTAATCCTCCAGGGAAAGATTGAAGGCAAACAAGGTCCAGGCAGAAGAAAAACATTGTGGCTTCAAAATCTAAGGGATTGATTTGGACAAAACTCAGCAGCACTTTCTCATGCGGCTGCTGATAAAAACAGGATTGCCAACATGATCGCCAACGTCCGATAACAGATATGGCACAAGAAGAAGAAGAAGTGTTCTAATATTTGAGGGGCTGTCACAGAGAGGGGGGGGCACACTTGGAATACTGCATCCAGTTTTGGTCACCACGATGTAAAAAAATGCTGAGACACTAGAAAGAGTACAGAGAAGAGTAACAAAGATGATTAGGGGACTGGTGGCTAAAACATATAAGGAACGGTTGCTGGAATTGGGTATATCTAGTTTAGCAAAGAGAAGGACGAGGGGGGACATGATAGTAGTGTTCCAATATCTCAGGGGCTGCCACAGAGAAGAGAGAGTCAAGCTATTCTCCAAAGCGCCTGAAGGCAGGACAAGAAGCAACGGATGGAAACTAACCAAGGAGAGAAGCAACCTAGAACCAAGGAAAAAAATCCTGACAGTTGGAACAATTAACCAGTGGAACAACCTGCCTCCAGAAGCGGTGAATGCTCCACCACTGGAAGTTTTTAAGAAGAGACTGGACAGCCATTTGTCCGAAATGATATAGGGTTTCCTGCCTGAGCAGGGGGTTGGACTATAAGACCTCCAATGTCCCGTCCAACTTTATATTATTATTATTATTATTATTATTATTATTATTATTATTATTATTATTATTATTATTATTATTATTATGGATCATCGCACAGTCAGCCAGATGTTCAGACTGGATTTGTCATTTTGTCTACCTATGGAGTCCTTACCCAGGACCTGGGATAGGCAGATGTGGATGTTTGATGTTATTACAGATATCGTCGCAGGATGGAAGTAGTTCCTAGTAAGGCCGCCTTTTGCAATTGTCAATGCCAATGGTGTTCAAGTGGTGCTCCAGTTGTTTTGGGATTGCACCCAAGGCGCCTATGACTATTGGTACTACCCTTGCTTGCTTTTGCCACAGTCTTTCTATTTCTAGGTCTTTGTATTTTGTTGTTGTTGTTATTATTAAAAACAAAAGTCCAGTTGCCTCCTGAAAAAGCACCTTTTGGACAATGTTGTTTCTCTTGTGTCATATACGTGGGTTTATGCCAAAGTCTGTATTTACTTTTTACATATTTATGTAGTGTATTAGAGGTGGTGACCCTTTGCGAGCTATATGCAACAAAATTTCACTTTAATTGTTTGCCAATTAGTGTACAAAGTGACAACAAAGTCATTCTATCACCCTCCTTTTTAAGATTCAGAGGACAAGGTCTGTTCTTTGAAGGACTAGAGTTGCCAGTGATTTGTCATCAGAGTTAACAGCAGCTCTTCTTTTGCTTAAGTGGGTGGCTCTTAAAAGAGCCTTTGATGCACTCCCGCGTACTTTACTTGGAGCTGGTGTACTTGGTGACGGCCTTGGTGCCCTCGGAGACGGCGTGCTTGGCCAGCTCTCCCGGCAGGAGGAGGCGGACGGCCGTCTGGATCTCGCGGGAGGTGAGGGTGGAGCGCTTGTTGTAGTGGGCCAGGCGGGAGGCCTCGGCCGCGATGCGCTCGAAGATGTCGTTGACGAAGGAGTTCATGATGCTCATGGCCTTGGAGGAGATGCCGGTGTCGGGGTGGACCTGCTTGAGCACCTTGTAGACGTAGATGGAGTAGCTCTCCTTGCGGCTCTTCTTGCGCTTCTTGTCGCCCTTCTTCTGCGTCTTGGTGATGGCCTTCTTGGAGCCCTTCTTGGGCACCGGGGCGGACTTGGCCGGTTCGGGCATATCTCCCTCTAGTTACGATACAAGAACAACCGAAAGAAATAATCTGAACGCAACACCCAGCCTTCTATTTATAGGAGCCATATGCAAACGAAGTCTAAAATGCTCTCGTTCTTATTGGCTAACATCCGAGGACTAGGGGGAAAAAAAAAAACGTTTCGGAATTTTGGTTTTACGAACGGTGCGCTCTCATTGGTCGACCGCTAGGGGCTCTCTCGCCCATTGGGTGGTCTTTTTTTTGTTAGTGGTTTAATCCGAGGGGGCTCCAACGTCATTGGACGCTGAGGGCTCAAGGGGTCCAATCAAAAGAAGCGTTTGCAAGACCTTGAAAAAGTATATAAAGGGCAGGACAGGGCAGGGTTATTACATTCGGCGATTTCAAAGTTAATTTTTTTTTTTACTTCTAGATTCGGCGGATTGAGTCAGGATGTCTGGACGCGGCAAGCAAGGCGGCAAAGCCAGGGCTAAGGCCAAGACTCGCTCTTCCCGCGCCGGGCTGCAGTTCCCCGTGGGCCGCGTGCATCGGCTGCTACGCAAGGGCAACTACGCGGAGCGCGTCGGGGCCGGGGCGCCCGTCTACCTGGCCGCCGTGCTGGAGTACCTGACGGCCGAAATCCTGGAGCTGGCGGGCAACGCGGCCCGGGACAACAAGAAGACGCGCATCATCCCGCGCCACTTGCAGCTGGCCATCCGCAACGACGAGGAGCTGAACAAGCTGCTGGGCAAAGTCACCATCGCCCAGGGGGGCGTCTTGCCCAACATCCAGGCCGTCCTGCTGCCCAAGAAGACCGAGAGTCACAAGGCCAAAGGGAAGTAAAGCCAGCCCGCTCTCCGCCGCCCAGAACGACCCCCAAAGGCTCTTTTAAGAGCCACCCACCTTTTCTTGGAAAGAGCTGGGGAGAACAAATTCATTTTTTGGGGGGGGGATGGGGAAAATACTTTAAAAAAGTCGAGCAGGAATCTCTGATTTCCCTGGCAATAACCAAAATTCAGGGATTTAAACGGTCAGGCTGGAAATTTGCGCAAAAAATCGCGCTTTTTTTTGTGCTAAATGAAACAACTTGCTACTCAACCCGAAGATTACGGCCACTCTTCAGTTTTCCAACTAGAATAGAGTAATTTTATTGTCACTTTAAATGTAGACAATAATCAGCATATATTAAAATGGGATTTCGTTGCAAACGGCTCTCGGAGGGTAACCACTTCCAATATACATTGTATAAATAGGACAAAGATAATGCATATTCCCACATACACATGACCCACAGAAAACAGTCTAATTCGGATGTGTTACATGCACATGGCGAGAAAAACGAATCTTGCTAGTTTACCAGGTAGATGACATTAGGGAACAACTATGTTTAAAGTAATAAAATAAATTGGGTTTTCTTTAAAGCCAATTCATTTCACCCCCCCCCCGTCTTATTCACACAACCCCTTTAACTCGATCGTCCAGAAGTTTTAGCTACATTCGCCCACTTTAAGCTTAGCTACTCTTAATTTTTTTTTTAATGGTCCCTTTGGTTTCATATTCTGCCGCAATCCGGAGGACGAATTAAAACTTAAAAAAAAACAAACATCCCAAAGATGTGTGAACACAACCCGTGTTAATAATTAAAACGAGGTTAACGAGTTTCAAGGTTTAAAACACTCTGTCGAGGCAATTCGCCCCACTTAATAAGCAACTTTGAGAGAATTGATACTGTAAATTCACAAGTGAAATGTTTCAAAGTGGCCATAAAAGTTTTATAATGTTAAAAAGCCCTGGGGTACAACCTTCCAACAAATCGGAAGTCTGGCCAGCGCCTTTTCAACAATCACGTTTTTTAAAAAAGCATAAGCTTTCTCTTTAGTTGAGAAAAAAAAAAAAAAAAGGAAAAGCGCTGACAGACTTTCAGCCTTGTTTTTCCGCCCCTGTTCAAAATCCTAAACTTCGCGCCAATTCAAAGGAGGAAGCGATTGGCTGCCATCCAGCCGGCCGCGGGAGTTTTTGAAAAAGAAGTTGAGCCAATCGTTTGCAAGTGCGGGAATTTTGAAAAAAAAAAAAGGCAAAAATGTAAGCCCGGCTGGAAAGACAAACGCGTTTTTTGCGTCCATGCCTGAATGGAAGAAATAGATCTCTTTGGATTCTCATGGATCAAATAGTGCATTTTGAACATATTTTACAGTGATGCACAGTTTAAAAATTTATTATTGTAAGCTGCCCAGAGTCACTGAGAGTGAATGGGCAGCCATATAGATTTTCTTAAATAAACAAGACCGATGAAGCAGAATGTAGCTCAATGTAGTTGAAATGAGGGGGTCCTTGGTGCTCTCTGAGCTTGCTTGTTTTCTTGCAGATCTTTCATTACCCTAACTAGGTAACATCATCGGTGCTAGTAAGAAGTGCTATTTGCTGTCAGTTTATATTCTGGTGTCTCCTATTATATTTAAAGGGACTTACTGCTAACTTAGATACCACTACTTTGGCTTGCTACCTATTTTATTTGAATTGATTTGGTTAAACATATTGTTTTAAAGCTAAGAGCTTGATGCAGGATAAGTAGCATTCTTCTATTTCTCGTGTTGCCAACAGCCCTGTGAGGTAGGCCAGGCTGGGACACGACCAGGCCAAAAGTCTCCTAGGATGTGGATGGACTTGCATTTGGGCCTCTCGGATCCTTTTGATTAAGACATTTTCTTAACATTGCTGACTTCTTTGTTACTAGATAAGCTATTGTGAGATGTAAAAAACCCAAATTTTGATACTCACAATACGAAGACAAGACTGGTTAACAAAACAAAGGTTTATTGGAGAATAACATAAAAAGAATAAAAAGGAAAGAGAAGGAAAGAGAAGAAAGAAGAGGCGTTTGCAATCGCGGCCTCCCGGATCCTTCCCAATGGATTGGGTTCCAGGAGAACACTGGCCTGGTCTCAAGCTCTGCATTTTATACTAGTGGTTCTCAACCTTTTTAATGCCACGACCCCCAACCGGTCATAAGTCGAGGACTACTCAACTGGTCGTAAGTCAAGGACTACTTGACTGGTGCAGCACCATTTGCAGAATGGGACTTTTGGTGGGCTCAGCAGGGCAGAGACAGCCTGGACAATTCCTATTGGCTTTTGAAAGCCAATAGAATTAGACTCTATTCAAGAGAGTCTATTCTATTGGCTTTCGAAAGCCAATAGAATAAAAGGGAGTAGCAAAGCTAAGGAAAAGCGGGGAAAAAAATGGCGGACAGCGTTGTTTGGCGACCCCCGTGAAACGGTCGTTCGACCCCAAATGGGGTCCCGACTCACAGGTTGAGAACCACTGTTTTATACTTTTCACAATGCATGTCACATCTAAGAAGCTCTTTCATCTTTATAGACGTCCTTTGAAGTTGTACTTAAAGTCATCCTGACCTCTTCCACCCATCTGCTGTTATCTTGTTTATTTGTAATTTTCACCTAGGGTCAAAATCCCCCTCTTTGATAGTGATTTCTACTCAAAGTGTAAGTTCCTGTGTCCGGAGGAATTTTAGGTAGTAAACATTGAACAAACCTTCTCACACATTTGGCAGTGCACTGCTACATTTGCGTTACAGTGTTACATTTGTACTAAAGAGACAGTTTCATATATTGGCATTACATTTCTACAATTATATTTCTACAATTTTATAAAAGAATAACTTTTATTTCCTTCACTATTATCTATTTCAGACATGTCAAACACAAGGCCCGGGGGCCGGATGCGGCCCGCGATGTGGTTTTATGTGGCCCACGAAGCCATCCTGGAAACTGAGGGAACGGCCCCCACTGCCTTGGCCCTGGCCCAGGCCAGCTGGGAGCCAATGTACAATTTTGTGGTGGCCATTTATGCTGAAACACGTTCAGTCTTAGCTCCACAAGGCCGTCTGGAAACAACGAGGAACCAGCCCCTGCCGCATCGGCCCCGTCCCCTGGGGAGATGTCATCCTTTGTGAGGAATGAAGAAATACACCATTGCCTGGAAGTGGCCAGCAAATGGCCCTCTCCTACTTCTCATATCTGGCTTGATGGGCTCCGGGGGAGGGGTTTCAGCAAGCATTTCCAGTGGACCATGCCTTGGTGCTTGCCCTGGTCCCACTCCCTTCTGCCAGAGACCCTCAGATCTGTCTCACTCCTGCCCAGGCCCCCACAGGGACCCTTGACGCGAATGATGTAGAGCTGGCCATGCCCACCCAGTAGGCCACACCCACTCCGTCCACGCCTACCCAGTGAGCCACACCCAATCTGGCCACGCCTACCCCCCCCCCCAGGACAACCGCAATGCTGATGCGTCCCTCAATGGAATTGAGTTTGACACCCCCTGATCTATTGAGTCTTTTTGAAATGATACGGGTGGCAAATTAATTGAATAAATGAAATAAATAATTGATTATGTGCCACCAAATTGTTTTAGACTCATCTAGACAGATTTTATCCAGGATGAATTGACTCTAATTGGTACTTTTGATTCTCTCCACAAGATGTTTTTTCAAAAGGCAACTGGACTTTCTTGGTTTTTTCCCCCTTGAAAACATTTGACTTTTCATCCAACAAACTTCTTCAGTTCTCAAGCTTAGCTTCTTGGATGAGAGGGAAAACGTTTTCAAAGGGGGGGAAAAAGTCCAGTTGCCTTTGGGAAAGCATCTTTGACTTGATGATTGGGAATCTCTATATCAGTGGTTCTCAACCTTTTTAATGCTGCGACCCCCAACCGGTCGTAAGTCGAGGACTACTGAACTGATGCAGCACTGTTTGCAGAATGGGACTTTTGGCGGGCTCAGCAGGGCAGAGACAGCCTGGACAATTCCTATTGGCTTTTGAAAGCCAATAGAATTAGACTCTGTTCAAGAGAGTCTATTCTATTGGCTTTCAAAAGCCAATAGAATAAAAGGGAGTAGCACAGCTAAGGAAAAGGGGAAAAAAATGGCGGACTGCGTTGTTCAGCGACCCCCGTGAAATGGTCGTTTGACCCCAAATGGGGTCCCGACCCACAGGATGAGAACCACTGCTCTATATAGACCAGTGTTTCTCAACCTTGACAATTTTAAGGCATGTGGACTTCAACTCCCAGAATTCCACAGCCAGCAATGCTGGCTGTGGAATTCTGGGAGTTGAAGTCCACATGCCTTAAAATTGTCAAGGTTGAGAAACACTGATATAGACGCTCTCAACAGTGCATTCATTAGCAACTAACTAAGATGATTAAAGGCCTGGAGACTAAAATATGTGAAGAATGGTTGCAGGACTTGGGTTTGGCTAGTCTAAAGAAAAGAAGAAATAGGGGTGACATGATAGCAGTATTCCAGTATTTGAGGGGCTGCCACAAAGAAGAGAGGGTCAAATTATTCACCAAAGCAACAGAGGGCAGGACAAGAAACAATGGCTGGAAACAAATGAAAGACAGAAGTGACCTGGAATTAAGGAGACACTTCCTAACAGTGAGAACAATTAATCAGTGGAACACTTTGCTTCCAGAAATTGTGGGCGCTTTGTCACTGGAGGTGTTAAAGAAGAGGCTAGACCAGTGGTTCTCAACCTGTGGGTCGGGACCCCATTTGGGGTCGAACGACCATTTCATGGGGGTCGCCAAACAATGCAGTCCGCCATTTTTTCCCCCTTTTCCTTAGCTGTGCTACTCCCTTTTATTCTATTGGCTTTTGTGAGCCAATAGAATGGACTCTCTTGAATAGAGTCTAATTCTATGGGCTTTCAAAACCAATAGGAATTGTCCAGGCTGTCTCTGCCCTGCTGAGCCCACCAAATGTCCCATTCTGCAAACGGTGCTGCACCAGTTGAGTAGTCCTCGACTTACGACTGGTTGAGTAGTCCTCGACTTATGACCAGTTGGGGGTTGCGGCATTAAAAAGGTTGAGAACCACTGGACTAGACAGTTATCCGAAATGACTTGAGCAGGGGGCTGGACTAGAAGACCTCCAGGGTCCCTTCCAGCTCTAGTCTATTCTAGTCTATTCTGTTCTGTTCATATTGTATGTTGCTAATGGTCATCTTTTTCTCTTTTCTTCCTTCCCTCCTTCTCCCCCCCCCCCCCCCGCATTAGAACCCTTTCCAGATAATTAGGTCTTTGTATACTGGGTTCAAAGTAAGATAATTTGAGCCTGGTCTTTTGCATCACAATCTTGGGTTGACTCTTAATTTCACCCTTCCAATTCCTCTTTGCCCCCATTTGCTGATTTAAAAAAATACTTCTATAGTTGCACTCCCCTCCCTTATAACGACAACAAATCCTCTGGGCTGCACACAAAACAGTAAAAAGAACAGGAACTTCCAAATCTTGAAGATATAAATAAATTAAACGTCATTTGTGAGTGCAAAGGCTGAGAAATAAAAGTCATTAATGCAGAGGCTCCAAGAGAGAAGAATCAATACATTTCTAAAAGCAACCTAACCTAATTGTCACGTTGTTGTTGTTGTTGTTAATTGAGAAGTCGTGTCTGACCCATCGCGACCCCATGGACAACGTTCCTCCAGGTCTTCCTGTCCTCTACCATCTTCTGGAGTCCATTTAAGTTCACGCCTACTGCTTCAGTGACTCCATCCAGCCACCTCATTCTCTGTCGTCCCCTTCTTCTATTGCCCTCAATCTTTCCCACCATTAGGCTCTTCTCCAGTGAATCCTTCCTTCTCATTAGGTGGCCAAAGTACTTGAGTTTCAACTTCAGGACCTGGCCTTCTAAAGAGCAGTCAAGGGTTGATCTCTTCTAGGACTGACCGGTTTGAACGCCTTGCAGTCCAAGGGACTCGCGGGAGTCTTCTCCAGCACCATAGTTCAAAGGCCTCAATTCTTTGTTGCTCATCCTTTCTTATGGTCCAACTTTCACAGCCATACATTGCAACTGGGAAAACCATGGCCTGGACTATACGCACTTTTGTTGGCAGGGTGATGTCTCTGCTTTAATTGTCACATTACCCAGCAGTAAAGTGAACATATCTTCCAGGTTACAGATGTCGTAACGTTATATCAAGTGCCTTCTTAGCGCAGTAGGCAGCGCGTCAGTCTCATAATCTGAAGGTCCTGAGTTCGAGCCTCAGAGAGGGCATAGGTTTATTTTTTTTTAAAGGGGGGCGAAGGAAAGAATATTTTAGCGGCGTTTTTAAAATGACATAAATTATCTCGCTGGGCGGAAATGGCAGGACACAGCTCGCATTTCCCTCGAGTCTTCTAAAGGGAGCTTTGCAGCTTTTGGATTTGGGGGGGGTGGCTTGGAGAAGGAGGGTGCTGGGATTCTCACAGACACACAAGCACAATTTAGTGGGATCTTTTGCAGGCTTCGCAATTTGGTTGCAAATATCTTGTTTCTTCCGCTCGAGAAAAAGATGCAGCCACTTCCTTTGGAGCACCATTGGCTTCTCGTTGCAATTTAAAGTGACAATAACGTTCTTTTCTCTCCTCTCCTCTGTTTCATTGAACAAATGCATATTCTCATGCAGAATAAAGTTAGATAAACTGCGAGGTTTTTTAACTTGCCCGGCTAGCTCAGTCGGTAGAGCATGAGACTCTTAATCTCAGGGTCGTGGGTTCGAGCCCCACGTTGGGCGAATGGTTTTTCTTATTTGCTTTCCCCCTCTTTTTAAAATAATCATTACCGGCATAGAGAGTTAAGATGTTTTTTTTTTAAAAATGCACGCTTTAGCCAGGACAGATCTCAGAAGAAACGGCCTTCGCCACAATTATTCCGCTCCCTCCCCCCCAGAGATGTTTTACAGCAGTTTAAAAAGATGAATGCATCTCATTGAGGATGGAGTGTTCAGAAACGGAATATAGGGGTTAAAACTGTATCGGGAAACAGTTGCAAAAAAAAAAAAAAGAAAGAAAGAAAATAAACACCTTCATGTAAGGATGGGAAAAAAAAAAAGTCTACTTAGCAGAGGATGGTTTCGATCCATCGACCTCTGGGTTATGGGCCCAGCACGCTTCCGCTGCGCCACTCTGCTCTGCGCGAAGTTGTGGCTTATTGAAACGCCTCAAATGACGCT